ATGGGGTGCTAGTGGCTGGGATGCACAAGAAAAGAAACCCAAAAGCCACTCTGGCCACAACCTGACATCCTTTTTTATTTACAATCTCCTCACTGCTGCTGAACTGCACTCATTTTCACATGTGTTGTCATTCTGACCTGGAGTGACAAGCGTGCGCATGGATTCCTTGACTAATTACTATGGACTTTCCGCTCGTGATCCCCTGGTGTCTCTCGTTACTAGGTGACCATCAAGTGTTTTCTCAGAGGATGACAAACGGAAATCCATTGCTGCAGCTCCGATACAAATTTATGGAGAACAGTAAAAAGCACTGCAGTGTTTGGGTGCGCTGTGTTTGTATGAGGTAATTATTACTGAAATGTGTATATTCCATTGAAAGTTTGAAGCAGATTGGTTAGCATTAATTACAAAAATCATGGTGCGCTCGCCGCATTCGTAAAAGTTCAGATGTTTTTCAACTAGGTGCGCCTGGAAAATGGGGGCGGTTCACATGCACATGCAAGCTGCATGCCTCCATTGGAAATGACAAACTTACACCCAAGCTTATTAGCATTCCTTCTAAAGCACCCGCTCAGCAGCCACATTAAAATAAAACTATAGTCTTCACATCGAATCTTTTTTTTTTTTTTTTATCGATATTGACATTGGTGTTCAGTCAAGAAATATCGATACAGATTTTATCGCCCAGCCCTAGGTTGAAAAATGTTAAAAGAAATCACACTACTGATGATCCAACCCAGGCACGTGCACACATAGGGCTCAACTTGTGCAGTGCACATGCCCTTTTTAGTTTTGGATAGAAAGTGCCCTTCCAAAATGATCAAAAGTGCCCCGGCGACACATTCCGCCCTTCAGTAGCCACGCGACAACACCGCTCTTGAGTACGCACAAACCCCACCCCCGGGTTTTACAATACGCGCGCGACAACACCGCTCTTCAGTACGCGCGCGACAACAACAAACCCCCCCCTTCAAAAAAATTTATCCTGCACATGCCCTTAAGACAGTCTCTACACGGGCCTGATCCAACCGGTCATTTACTTGTTAGTCATTGCCTGAGGTTGCTGTTTTTGTGCTTAGAACAAGTTTAAGCATTGACATTGAGTTCATGTGGCCTCTGAATGCAAATACTGCTGTAATTGCGGTTTCCCGGTGAAGCTTATGACATGCAGTCACGCTTGTTTGCAGTACTACAGTTGTAGTTCAGTAGTGATAAGCATCTGCTAGATTGTCCATCCAGTTCCTCATCACTGATTTGGCTTGCTGTTCCTGGCCATGTTGTCATTTTTGGGGGAGATCCTCTTGACGGATATACTTGTGGTTTTTGTGATAGTCTGTTTTTTTTTTTGTTTTTTTTTTGGTGTCTGTTCATTGCTCATTCTTTGTTCATTGTACCCCATGAGCAAGGCCAGACTGAATCTGTGTGGACATTTAGAATGATTTTGGGAGTTTAGTAGCTAAAATCTTAAAACATTAAAAACTGCAAGTCTCTCGTATCAGTGGCGCCCCCAGAAAAATTTCTTAGGGGTGGCCAAGTAAGGCCACAACAAATTTTGGGGTGGCACACAAAAAATTATGAATTGTGTATATATTGTGAATAAGGAGTAATGTTATATTTTTGTTTTTGGTAAAATAAATAATGTAGTTTTAATGAAATCCAATAATTACTCTTGAAATATTGTAATTTATTCCTGCAAGTACAAGTGCAAACCAAATAAAAAATCAATATTTAGTCTAAAACCTCTTTCAGGTAAGTTAATTCTTGTACAACATACAATATATGCCATGTCTAACATTAATGAAGATTAATGAATGAATTAATAAACCAAACAAATGAACAAACTGTACAAAAGGCATTACTACAGTATGTACACACGCTTATTATACATACCCCAATATAATTTATCCATGCTACTTTGTGAGCCACAATGTTAATACATATTCCTGTACCTATTTGCAAAATACACCCACAAAATCATTAGGATTTTTGGCCCTTTTAAGTCAACCAGCAAAATATTGTACTTGCTAAGTAAACTAGATATTGAAAAGCAGATTTCAAAATGCATCTATTTATTTATTTTGGATTTGTGGTTTTTAATAAGATAAAACAACTTTTTCATTTTAAAAATAATAATTTCTTAATAAAAAGTGTGCAATCTCAGTGAATCAGCTTCGTCAGTGGCGCTGATCAATCCACAATAATTTAGGCTGCATTTTATTTATTCATTTATTTATTGAAGTATTGTGAATTTAAGTAAATGCATTTAAATTAATAATATCAGCAACTATCATATTGGGGTGGCCACAGGGGTGGCCAGAGTTTACACAAGGGTGGCCGTGGCCACCCCTTGGGGGCGCCCCTGTCTCGTATAATACATCTACTAAAAAGAAAATACAAACTGTATTGTAAATAAATCAAATAAACATTTGCAGATTTGTCAATAATATAACTGAAATTAATAAAAAAAAGTTTTCTAGCACTGGGTTGTGGCTGGAAGGGCATTCGCTGCGTCAAACTTATGCCGGAATAGTTGGTGGTTCATTCCACTGTGGCGACGCCTAATAATAAGGGACTTGGACGAAGGAAAATAAATGAACGCATTTAAAACTGAATATATCTATAACTACATGACAAAATTCTTGTTGCCAATCCCAGTTGTAAGATCAACAAATAATGACTTTTAATTGATCAAATGGAAAAGTAGCAGAAGGTAGATCATCTGTTGAGCTGCATCTCAATCATCACAAATACTGCAGAAGATCTACTGGAACCCGCATGGACCCAAGATTCTCACAGAAATCAGTCGTTTGGTGAAGGAAAAGTCATGGTTTGAGGTGACATTCAGTATGGGGACGTGCAAGAGATCTGCAGAGTGGACGGCAACATCAACAGCCTGAGGTATCAAGACATTTGTGCTGCCCATTACATTACAAACCACAGGAGAGTGTCAATTCTTCAGCAGGATAGCGCTCCTTCTCATACTTCAGCCTCCACATCAAAGTTCCTGAAAGCAAAGATGGGCAAGGTGCTCTAGGATTGGCCAGCCCAGTCACCAGACATGAATATTATTGAGCGTGTCTGGTGTAAGATGAAGAAGGAGACACTGAAGATGAATCCAAATAATCTTGATGAGCTCTGGGAGTCCTGCAAGATCGCTTGCTTTGCCGTTCCAGATGACTTTATTAATAAGTGATTTGAGTCATTGCAGAGATGTATGGATGCAGTCCTCCAAGCTGATGGAAGTCAAACACAATGTTAAATCTTTTTCCACTGCACCATGACTTTATATTTTATACTGGACGTTGTTTCTGATAAGTGACAAGACTTTTGTCTTAGCAAAGTCAGACCTTACTGTCCTAATTAAATAATTAAAAATCAAGGCATGATCATATTTAATTTTGATAAATAAGTGTAATCTAGAGGCCGTTGCCGTTCATATAAGCCACTTCTGATACCAAATGATCAACTAGATGTAAAGGTATAATTTTTTTCCTCAAACTTGGATAGGCAACAAGACTTTTGCAGGTTGTGTGCGTACGTGTCTATGTGTATATATATATATATATATATATATATATATATATATATATATATATATATATATATATATATACTGTAACTCCTTGCTTGCACATTGTCCTCTCTTTTTTTTTTTTTTTTTTTTTTTTAGAAAGTCTTATTTATTTTACTTTGACTTGAGTAGTTTGATTTAGTTTTAGAAATTTCAAATTTAAAAAAGTTATTAAGGTCAATGGTAATAGAACTAAACTGGTAATAGAACTTGCCTGGTTAACCTAATTAACCTAGTTAAGCTGAATACTTGTATCTTGCCAAATGACTTGTAAATGTACCGTACTATACTGTCATCATAGCAATGACACAATAAATTATTACAATTATTATTTAAAATGATTAAAATAATGTTTTAATGTTGGATAAAAAAATGTACTCTCTATTAAACAGCACTAGAAATATTCTTAAACTAATAAAAATTGTTAGAACCCGCTCATAATAATGCCTTCAGCTTTATATATAGTTGAAGTCAGAATTATTAGCCCCCCTTTGAATTTTTTTCTTTTTTAAATATTTCCCAAATGATGTTTAACAGAACAAGGAAATTTTCACAGTGTGTCTGATAATATTTTTTTTTTTCTCTGGAGAAAGTCTTATTTGTTTTATTTCGGCTAGAATAAAAGCAGTTATTAATTTTTTCTAAAACATTTTAAGGTCAAAATTATTAGCCCCTTTCTCAATTGTCTACAGAACAAACAACTTGCCTAATTACCCTAACCTGCCTAATTAACCTAGTTAAGCCTTTAAATGTCCCTTTAAGCTGTATTTTAAGCTCTATAGAAGTGTCTTGAAAATATCTAGTCAAATATTTTTTTAGTCATCATGACAAAGATAAAATAAATCAGTGATTAGAAATGAGTTATTAAAACTATTATGATTAGAAATGTGTTGAAATAATCTCTGTTAACAGAAATTGGGAGGAAAAATAAACGGGGATAATAATTCAGAGGGGCTAATATTTCTGACTTCAACTGTACAAATATTCATTGCTGCATTGTACAGGATATTGCATACTTATTTTTCCTATCTATAAATTTACAGTTTAAACGTTAAAGATATAATGGTGTGTATAAAAATATGTAATTAACAATATCAAATAGTCTTTTGTTTATTTGTTTTCCCTTGTGTGACCTTTGGTTAAGAAAGCAAGACTGAAGTAAATCATCACTTTATTAATTGCATAAGTACGTCGTATAAATACGTGAACAGATATATAAATAGCTGCCACAAATCAGTTTATAAAAAGAGTTATTTTAGTAAACAAAAACAAAACCTGCAGTACAATAATTAGTGGCTGTACATTCTCTGTTAGTATGCAAATCTATAATAAGGGTCAAGTAGTTAATATAAAATAGGCAGCTTCCACCTCTATGAAAGACTAAAGCTCTAAAACTGGTTCATCTAGAGGTCAACATGATTCCCGGCCATCAGTCTTTGGTGGCATCAGCATAGAGCAAGAATCCAGAGAACGTGCTGTCGTCCTCACTGCTGGAGTACACACCGTTCCAGTCCCGCAGAGTCTCCAGCCAAACCTGGTCTCCGGATGACAGACGGAGCACGGCCATGTTGGAGGCCTGGTCAATGTCCTGGCCGTAAAGAGAGTCACGCGTTCGCAGTTTCCGAATGCCGTTCACCACCAGGGCTGCACGCAGGGGACGATTACGTACAGTTATGTAGTATGAAAAGACGTAAACTCCTCCGTGAGTGCAGTTGAATTTACTTGCATTGGGGTCCCAGTGAGCCTCCTCATTGTAAATGATTTTGTCGAACCTGATGGGGAGTCCTGGTGGCGGGAACGATCGGCTGGGGAAAAGACCAACACTGAATGCAGAGCGCTTCTGAACGGCAGGTTCGCCTTTAAAGCCCTTGAATCCCCGAATTCCTCGTGCTCCTTTTAAACCTCTTGTGCCTTTCATCCCCGGCATCCCCCTTTGTCCTGGTGGTCCTTGTGGGCCTGGTGGACCAGGCTCTCCTTGCTTGCTTAGAGGTCCCGGATCTCCTTTTGGCCCTTTAGATCCAGGAAGCCCGTCTGTTCCATTTGTTCCTGGCACACCCGGGTCTCCTTTGGGCCCTTGAGGCCCTGGTTCCCCTATACTGCCTTTCTGGCCTTTCTCTCCAAATGGACAGTCTCCTTTGTCGCCCTTCTCGCCCTTGATGCCATCTGGTCCAGGAGGACCAGTCAATCCCTGTTTGCCAGGCTCACCCATCCCTCCCTTTGTTCCATTCCAGCCAGGCTCTCCGCGCTCCCCTGGGTCTCCTTTCAGCCCGGGGAAACCGGTATCTCCTTTGTCTCCTTTAGGGCCTGATTCACCTGCACACATTAACATCAACTTGAATGCAATTCGAAATAAAAGACCCATTCTCTGCAATCTTGACTCACTAAAAAGGCTTCTAGACACATACAGCTCAGAATTATTCGCCCTCCCGTATATTTTTTCCCAATTTCTCTTTAACGGAAAGATTTTTTCAACACATTGCGAGACATAATAGTTTTAAAAACTCTTTTCTAATTGCTGATTTATTTTATCTTTGCCATGATGACAGTACACCATCTGAAATTTTACGGTTTATTTCCGGCAGTTGGGGTGCCGGGAAAAAAACCTAAAATAACGGCCGTTAAATTACGGAAATTTATCTAAATTTAAATTTCTGTTATTTAACTCAGGGTTTCTGCGTGGTCTTAAAGTCTAAAAATTGAAAATCAAAATTTAAAGCCTTAAAAAGTCCTAAATTCGCTGTTCTAGGTCTTAAATATTTTAGCATGGGTCTTATTTTTCCGATGTCCATGTAACGCTACATCTAATAGTCATTAAAATTCTTTTTTGTTGTTGTTGCTAGGTTTTGTTGATGTTGTAGTTCTTTATTTCACTAGTCCAAATGTAATTTGCGGTATTACAACTACAAAAAAAGGTAAACTTGCAATAGCCAATCTCATTGTGCACGCTGAATGTGACGTCATCGCTGTGTTTGTGGAGGTTTAATGTGGGCACGCACCACATGATTTCGGCTGGTGGAGTATTTTACTGACAAATGTCGTAAGCGCAGTATTACAAGACTAGTGTTTCCTCCTCTTTTTGTGCTTTTGCTCTCCATAGATGCTTCAGCATACTGTAGTATTAAGAATAGTGAACTGATAAAATGAAATACAGTAAAGTGTGGTGAATTGTAGAATAATATAACCCATATTGTAAAAAAAAAAAAAAAAAAAACTACAGCACTGGGTAGTTTGTTTATATTATACTTGTTGTGTTACCATAGCAACTATAGTATTACAACAGATTAACTGAAGTACTTTACTGTATTTTACAAAACACTGTACAGCAGAGGCTAGTTCACTTTATTTTAGTTGCCATGATAAAATTGGATTGATAGTGAGATTTATTTGAAGAGTGAATAGTACAGTAGGCTATAATACCTTATCAAGTTTTTCCCTATTTTCTATCACAGTTACATTTCTGCTTGCATTAGTTATATTTAAAGAAAATTAGTAGTAGTAGTAGTATGGTGCACCTTTTGGATGTTTAATAAATGTTTTTTAATATAAAACTATTCTCTGTGTCTTTAAGTGTTTGAAACTGGAAATATCTCATCATATAACATACAGCCAAAAATGTTATGGTTTATTAGGATAAAAATATAATATGTAAGTCAATTTTAGAATTTTGGTTATGGTTAATTAATAGTGTACTATTATAAATCATATCAAAAAGCACGAAAGGAAGAGGGAACAGTGTACTGAGAGCATGCAAGGAAATTTGTGCGGGAGCAGTGCATATTTGAGAGTGAAAAAATTAGCAGTTTTGTCCACAAACAGAGGAAATCAGTGCACAGGCAATGAGATTCGCTCGCTTATATTACATGAATGCGCTCTTGACTTGTAATACTGCGCTCACGACATTTGTCAGTGAAATACTGCCATAGCGGAGCTAATGAAATTTTTTTGAGACTCAGGTGAACAGTTCGCGCGGCGCTGCATTTGATTTGAGTTGAATATGAAACACTTTGGAGAGATTTTGTCTGAAACAGGTACGTCTGCACCGACATCTTTATGATCCGTCCATGCGTGATCATAGGGAGAACCAGATGACCAATAATTCTTGGGTAAAAATTGCAACAGCCATGGAACAGGAGGAAAGTTTTTGTAAAAGTTTGAATAGAGATTAGTTTGTTAAAACAAAATAGGAGGCCGCCAAAAATATTTTTAGTGATATTAATGATTCTCTTTTTATTCATGTGATTTTACTGCATTTCTTTTGACCGCCCCCTGTCATTTAAAAGAATATCTCAATAGCGAACGCGTCAAGTATAAAAGCCTTGTCCGTTTCGTAAGGTGTGCGATGCTTTGACAGGTGAAAGTATAAATCAGCGTTAAGATGTTTGTTTGTTTGTTTTTCGTAGTTCAATGATGCATCTAACCTAACTTAGTACTGTTCAATATAAATGCATTTATTTTACCTCTAATTTTGTGATTTTACATTTTCTCTCGCGTGTTTTTGATATTGCAATATAGGTCTTAAATTTAATCATTAATGGTCTTAAAAAGTCTTAAATTTGACATTATGATATCTGCAGAAATCCTGTTTACAGTAAATTTCTGTAAGTTGTTACATTTTTTTATTTATTTTTGAAGCTGATTTATACTTCTGCTTTAAGCACACCTCTATGCTCCGGCGCAGCCTTCGCGCAGTTGCATAGCCCTCGTCGTGGCTGACGTGCACCTCTTAAGGCTGATTTTTACTTCTGCGTCGAGTGATCGGTGTAACCCACATCGCCTGCCTTGTGCGCAGTTGTGCATTTGTAATTCTGCGTGCAGTTTGTGTTGCTCTGCAATAGCACTTCCGTAATGCTAGCTGGCAGTAGGTTTTTATGTTCCTCTGTGTCGAGTTTCTTCGCTGGTGTTTAGTTTTTCCTGAATGCTAGAAGTAGCTAAAACTTGCTAATTTAGAGGCTAGTTGACGTTCCATAACTTTGATCATAAGGTAAACACAAAACAAAGTTTCCATCTGGAGCTCCTTTACAGGACTCAAAACTTTTAAACACTCTCTTAATCAGGGCACGCGGTTCTCAGGGCTGCCGACGCTTGTCACCGGTACCAAGCTGACCAATCAGAGAGCTTGCGATATGCGTTGTTGTGAGGTGTAGTTAAATTTTTTGAGAGGTGCACATCGGCGTCAGCCATGGCGAGGGCTGCATGAAGGCTCCGCCGATGCGTACGCTTGACGCAGAAGTATATATTAGCCTTAAAAAATTTAACTACATGTCACAACAACGCATACCACAAGCTCAGTGATTGGTCGGCTTGATAGCTGTGACCAGTGTGGACGGGATCGAGAGCCACGCGAACCCGTTGGAGCAAGTGTTTACAACTGTCGAGTCCTGTAAAGGAGCTCCAGGAAAACTTTTGTTTTGTGTTTACCTTATGATTGAAGTTGTTGAACGTTCACCGATTCCCGCCTCTGAATGAGCACGTTTTAGCTACTTGTACATTTCAAAAAAAAAAAAACACCAGCGAAGAAACTCGACACAGTGGAACACCTACTGCCAGTTAGCATTTTGGAAGTGTTATTGCAGAGCAACACAAACAGCACGCAGAAGTATAAATGCACGGCTAAGCGCAAGGCAGGCACCGTGGGTCACGCCGATCACTCAACACCGAAGCATAAAACAGCATTTAAGGCAATCCTACATCACACACTTCGATATCTGACAGTCCTGCTAGTGACTTGTAAGAAATGACACAATATAGCGAAACCGCATCATCATCACCCTTATAAGGGCTCCATCAGGAAAGTGTTCAAAAAGGCACAAGATAAACATTATAGCAACAATAACAAGATGCATCAAATACAGGGTTAAATCTTTCATCACAAATGCACCTTTCTCTCCTTGTTTCCCAGTAACTCCAGGAATCCCAGGTAGCCCGCTCGCTCCAGTATCGCCTTTCTCTCCTGAAGAACGTAAAAGACATGTTAACGAGCATCAAAACATTATCTGCGAATTAACCACATCAACAGCACAATGCTTATGAGTGCACAAGGCGTATTGGAATTTGGTTGCTCGACTGAAAGTGCTTTAAAGCCCTGAAGTTCTCTGCAGATACGCTTGCACTTTGTTCTTGACCTTTCACTTCGCAACAAACAGGAAATGATTTGCGCTTGTCTAGTCTTTGTTGACTCTGTTCTCGGTCTTAAAGGGCACCTATGGTGAAAAATCTACTTTTCAGGCAGTTTGGACTGACATGTGTGTAGGTGTAGTGTGTAGACTATCAAATTGGGGTGATATAAACACACCCAGTTCTTTTTTTTTTTTTTTTCAATTTAACAACCTAAAACCGGTGGACCATTTGTATTGGTTTTGAGACCGACCGCAACTTGATGTAGGAGTGCGGTCCCCCCGCCAACTAATATTGATTGACAGGCACGCATTACCACATTCTTGGTTTGTTGTTTCACATCCGCCCTTTTCAGCGTGTGAGTCAAAGCTATGTCACCAAAGGAACACCCTTGCTTTTTTTTTTTTGGATGTAAGGCTCATTGGGTTCAACACAAGAGCCTTCATCCTCCTCCTATGAATGAGCAACAGAGATTTTACATTTAACGGCCATTTGCGCTGAACACGCAGTACAACGTATCGAGTTTCAGGCCATTAAAAACAGCTGATCCACCGAGTCTTTCAGCACTCTTTCTGAAAACACTTGATTGATCTCGGCTGGCGGATCAACATTCACCACATTATCGCTCTCATCGGCACCATTGTTTGTAACTGTAGGTGGGTTTGCAAACCGGTGTACTTTTTATTGCGCCTTCCTTAAACTTCAGCCGTTTGCATTTCCCGCGGTCAAATAAGCTCCCTGTCATCTCAACTTGGTGGAAAGTGTGAGCGCGTTGCCTCGCATGCGCGTCCCTCCATTGGAAATAAAGAACTTGCCTTAGTTATAGCCCCAGTCGAAATTAATCCAGTGTGCATGGTTATTAGTCTCGGTGTACAACCTCGGAACCTTAAACTAGCACACAGTTGGCATAACTTTGTTTAGTTGCGCAGTTTTGATCCATGCAGGAACACGGTGTTGAGAAACCTTTAGGATTAATTACCCGTGATGAATTAAATCGATGTTAATAGTGAAACCGGTTATTCATTACATACCTATACAGGTCACGCATGCATCGTTACATAGTGGCTGTAAAACTATACAGACACAAATGATTTTGTAACTATCACTCTGACATATTCTGGGACATGATTGATTCCTCAACAGTAGTCTCTGCTTGGTCTGTGTCCAAGTTGTACATGTACGGCTGAATGCTGATCCTCTCACTCATGTTGCTTCTCTCTGTCTGCCTATCTGTTGCCATACACAAAGCGGGGAAGCTCTTGGCTTCGCCCCCTTGTTAAGTTGGACGGGAAGTCGAAACTAATTTTCATGTGAAGCAACACACCCCTAAAACAACGAGCTGTGTACACGCCCCCAAAATAACACTTTAACACATTATAATAAAAAAAATCTGAACTGTGTTTTGAACTGAACCTAAACTGGCACACTCAGAAGAACCATAATATTAATATTAAATCTTAAAAAAGGGGTAAAATAGGTGCCCTTTAAAAGAGACGTTCGTGACAACGAAAACCCTAAATGCTGTTGTGTTTCACTCCAACTTTACAGTTCTACAGTTTTTGTTGTAGACAACCTTTTTTTGCAATCTCAAGGAACTTGCATTGCTAGTTTCAAAACAAATTGTGGCTTCTGCCAACATGTGTGAGCATGCAACGTCAATCAAAGCGAACATTTCAGGTAATTGTTTTTTCACATAGGGCTATAAACCTTAAAACTTCATGTAGTCCTCCTTGTGAAAGGTCAAGCTTTTCTCAAATGTTAGTCCTTTTTGCAAAAACAAGGGCATTAAATGTGTTTGTAAGGATCACAGATGTGTCTCTAAAGTTGCTTGTTCTAGAACAGCATTTACCTGAATTTATTTTGGCTCCTTTCATATGGACGCCTAAATTAGAAACCAATCATGCCATTTAAAATACTTTCAAAAATATGCTATAGAGCCATTTTGATCCTAAAATTTGATTGGCTAGTAAGTGGTCAAGAGTGCTGAATGATATTTCACTCAAACTTCAATGAAATTTTGCATCGTTCTGTTCATTTGTGTTGGTGCTTCCTGATATTAGCATGCGTTTTCTGTAATATAATGAGCGTGTCCAGCCAAGACACAATCTCAAAATTATTATGAAAATTCTTTCGTTTTCCTTTGACTTAGTTCTGGAAACCAGAGCACCTGGAGGAAACCCACGCAAACATGGGGAGAACATGTATACTCCACACAGAAATGCCAACTGAACCAGTCGGTTCTCGAACCAGTGACCTTCTTGCTGTGAGGCGACAGTGCTAACTATTGAGCCCCCATGCCACCCTATTTTAAACATATCTTTAGATGAATCTTTTGTGACCACTAGTGTTCAGATTTCATCAAGGCACATTGATTTTTGTCATGCGCTTTTGATGGAGTGCTCATTGCAATGGAGGAGTGCTGTTGAATAAACTAACCAATGTTACCAACCCTTAAGAGTGAATAAAAACAAAAGAAAAGGATGTGGATGGCAATTCAAGCCCTGCTCACATTGTACAATTTCAGCCACAATTTGGTCGTCTGAGACAAATTTGGCAAATTCTGAAAGATTCCAGTAATCCTAGGCTAAAATCTGTGGTCTTTGATTGTTGGTTTGACTTGTTCACCGACAGCCGATCAATGGTTGTTGTGATCAGATTTTCCCTGCAATAAAGTCCTGGCAAGATTTCAGACAGTTTCCTGCAGTGTGACGAATGTCAATCGAAGAACCAATAGGGCGCCAAACTCGATGACGCAATCAGCGTGAAAACTTCAAACCACCTCGTTGTGGAACTGTCAAAACGTTTTTATTTGTAATTATTATAGGCACTCTGTGAGCAGAATTACCACTACAGATTGTTAATGTTTGCGGAAGTGTCACAGACTGATGATGTCAAACTCCGGCTGATTTTTCTTGCATGTTAGTATTTAGCCCATCTTCATTCCCATTTAGTCTGTCGTTAACAATAGATATCTTAAGGCTCGTACACATCGGGACGCTTTTCGTTTGTGTTTATCGTCAGCGTTTTTCGAGAAGTTTTTCCGCATTCAAACCCTAGCGATTTTTCACTGGCATCAAGCAGAAGAGCATGCAAAATCAGGCCTGGACGTTAGATGGTGCTTAATGAAAAACAGAAAGACTCCGGTGCACAGGGTGGCACTTTACAACTTTAAGCTTCCACTTGTAACACAGAAGAAGAATAAAGAAAGTTGACAGGCTTGTTGTTAAAGTTACTGGTGTTTCGAACAAGCATGGATGGTTCAAGTATCAGCTCCAGCTCCAGTGATAAAGAAATGATTATTGTTCACCAGTGCAATAAGCAGCTCCACGTTCATGTCGCCTCTGGGCATCTTCTTCAATGTGCGTTTGCATTGACAGTTTTGCGCTTGAGCGCCTCCAAGTAGTGTTTACTGTAACTTCAGCAGCTCTGTGCACATAACAAAAGTGCCAATCTGATTGGTGGAGAAGGTTTTGACGCGGCACATAAGGCATTTCTTTAAAAATGATGCTTTTACGCCTGATGTTTTGCGCGTTGGTGTTTACGATCACATTGGCGCCCTTTATTTAGTTATGAGGCTTTAACACAGTGCTTAATTTGTGAATTGCGAGGTCCTGGAACAGATCGGGGTCACGGACTTGCCATGTTACCCAAGGATGAAGAGGTGTCGCGGATGAAAGTGAAGAGCCGGGGTGGGGGTTGAATGGTTGGGTTGTTGTGGACGAAAGTGAGGGAGTTGCGGAAGATGTGGGAAGGAGGACGGTTAAGGAGGGGGACATGCTACAATCGTACAGGACTATTAAAAATTTAAAATATACACTTTCGGAAATGAAGGTAAAAAGTATGTCACAGTGGTGGTACTTTTTCAAAAGGTAAATGTGGAACAGGTACTTAAAGGTACATATTAATACCTAAAAAGTACAAATGTGTACCTCACAGGTACAAAATTGAACATTAAAGGCACAAAAGTGCACACTAAATTGGTTTTGTACCTTTATTTCTGAGAGTGTACAATGTGAGCAGGACATTAATGATCTCTTTTGGCTACTAAATACTGTGAAAACAACCGGAATGCATTTCTGACGACCTCTGAACGTGAACAACCTCAAAACATTTTAAAGCCTTTTTAGATTGATATTTAGTGCCAATCCACTTTTAATTGGATTTACAGAAGCACGTATTAATACTAGGTGCAAACTGTCTTCTCTAGGTTAATATGCCTACTACTGTACCCTGCTATGAGCTATAATAGGTAAAACACTAATGAGTGTTAGGTCTTAGTTCATCACACAGCATGAAAAGTACCTTAATGACCCACTGCTTATGCTGAGAATCTGAAGGCATTCAATCCCATGAGAGCAACAGGAGAGGAGGTATACACAAATAAGTGATGAGGTGGACATGCAAAGCCACAGAAGAGTGACAGCATGGAACATGTAGTACATCTTAAAGAGTTAGTTTACCAAAAAAGTATATTACTTTATTAATTACTTGCCCTCATGTCAGTCTAATTAAGACCTCCGTTCATTTTTAGAACACAAATTAAGAAATTTTAGATGAGATCCAAGAGCTCCCTGACCCTTCATAGAGTGCAATAGTTCAAGGATGTTCAAACTCTAGAAAGAAAAAACATTCTACTATTCAACTTCCAAGAACACTCTGTGTGTTTAAAAAAAAGACTGTTTAGACGTCAGATTAGAGTGTGCGCTTACCACAGGCAGTTTGACACGGGTGTGTTATGATGCTGACCCTTATGGCAATACGTTGTACTGCAGGTAGTAAACGCACACCCTGAAGTAACGTAGAGGACATTGGCAAATAAAATAGTTTTTAATAGGTCTTTTGTGCAAAAAGTTCTTGTTCTTGGAGCTTTACACGATTCCAGATCGTCATGTGGAATGTTTTGACAAGATTTTTGATTTCTTTTCTGACCATCTCTGGACCATTGCTGTCAGTGAAGGGTCAGCGAGCTCTCGCATTTCTCAATTTGTGGTTTGAAGATGAACAAAGGTCTCAAGGGATTTGAAACTACATGAGGTTGAGTAATAATAACAGAGTTCTCATTTTTGCATGAGCTAATCCTTTATCAATTTTCTGTCTCAGATTCTTTCAGAGTGCATTTTGAGTTTTGAGAAATCATTTTAGGTCGCACTTTATATTGATGGTCCGTTTGTCGAGTTTAAGTTACATTGCATCTACATGCCAGCTAATTCTGATTTGATTATAAGTAGACTGGGTTGGGGTTAGGGTTAGTGTAAGTTGACATGTACTTGCAAAGTTTCTTATAGTCAGTTAAATGTCTTGTTGAAGGAGCAGTATCAGCAGATATTAAGCAGACAGTCTACTAATACTCAAATGGACCATCAAAATAAAGTGTTACCAAATTTTATCAGTAGAGCTAAAACTTAAGCAACTTAAAATGTTGGTAGTTTACAACTGATCATCTCTAGTTTGTGTTTTTATTAAACACCAGCACATGACGTTACCATACAGACCTTTTACTCCATGCGTTCCTGGAGCACCAGTGAGTCCTTCTTGACCTGGAGGTCCCGGAGGTCCCATCTCCCCCTTTCCCCCTGGAATACCTTTCAAGATTATAAATATAGAACAAAAAATGGGTCCCACTTTATATTAGGTGGCCCTAAATTAAGTCACGATGTATGTTACAAAGTACTTATGGTGTAAATACATGTTTTACTTTGTACTTATGATTGATTAAATAACTGGAAGTAATTACACTGTTGACCATCCTTTACACCTTAATCCACCCTAAACCCACCCATACCACCAAACCTGTACTTAAGATGAAGTAATTACACTATTGACCATATTTACATCCTAAGCCAGCCTTTAACCTACTAATTCAACTAAACCTGTACTTGTGATTGATTAAATACCTGGAGATAATTACACTGTTGACCATCTTTTACACATTAATCCACCCTTAAACCCACCCATATCACCAAATCTGTCCTTATGATTGGTTAAATGCCTTGAAGTAATTACACTGTTGATCGTCCTTTACACCTTAATCCATCCTTAAACCTACCCATACCACCAAACCTGTACTTATAATTAATTGAATACCTGGAAATACGGTAATTACACTCAGGGCCGGAGCAAGCTGAACTGACGCTCTAGGCAAAGGACGTTCACGCCACCCACAACCCAAAAGTGAAAGCAAGGAGGGGTCTCTATATTCTGCCACCCTAGACGCAGACATAACTGAGGGCGTGGGTGGTGAAGGTAGTGTCGCGGACGCCGCCTTTTCTATTCTGCCGCCCTAGACGCGGATATAACTGAGGGTGCAGGTGGTGAGGGTAGCGTCGCGGACGCCGCCATAGAAGCGGATATAGCTGAGGGTGCGGTTGGTGAGGGTAGTGTCACGGACACCGCCATAGAAGCGGATATAAATGAGGGCATGGGTGGTGAGGGTAATGTCGTGGACGCCGCCCTAGAATCGGATATAACTGGGCGCAGGTGGTTAGGATAGTGTCGGGGACGCCGCCCTCTCTATTCTGCCGCCCTAGACGCGGTTATAACTAAGGGAGCGAGTGGTGAGGGTAGTGTCGTGGACGCCGCCCTAGAAGCGGATATAACTGGGTGCGGGTGGTGAGGATAGTGTCGGGGATGCCGCCCTCTCTATTCTGCCGCCCTAGGTCGTCTTTATGTATGTGTCGGCCCTGATTACGCTGTTGACCATCCTTTACGCCTTAAGCCTACCCATACCACCATACCTTTATTCATGATTGATTAAATACCTGGAAGTTATTACGCTGTTGACCATCTTTTACACCTCAATCCACCCTTAAACCTACCCATACCACCAAACCTGTACTCATGATTGATTAAATACCTGGAGATAATTACACTGTTGATCCTCCTTTACACCCTAATCCACCCTTAAACCCACCCATACCACCAAACCTGTACTTATGATCAAGTAATTACACTGTTGACCATATTTACATCCTAATCCACCCTTAAACCTACCCATACCACCATACATGTACTTAAGATTGATTAAATACCTGGAAGTAATTACACTGTTGATAATCCTTAACACCTTAATCCACTCTTAAACCCACCCTTACCACCAAACCTGTCCCTAATCCTACCCATATCCAACCTCAAGAACACCTGAAGTGTTCTGCAATACAATATGAACTCAGTAAATACACTGTATTCTCTTTCTGATGCAAGTACACCATCCTTAAGACCATCGAATATGAAGTGGTTTCAACATTTTTTTACATGATTTTTGAGTTTTAATCCTTCACCACACAAATTCTTACCCGGCAATCCCTTTTCTCCAACCGGCCCCGGAGGACCTCTCTCGGGTGGACAACATTCACAAAAGTTGAAGAAGCACTCGTTGTAGTCCAGCGTGTAGTTTCCAGGACCCACCCCAGGAGGAACCATGGCCTCCGTGTGGTAGTCTGCAGAATAAGTATCACTGGAAAAAGTGGTACTACCGGTGGACGTAATCGTGTATGCATCCATCATGGCGTCTGTAACTTCTTCAGTGATGCCAATTGCTGTTGGACTCACAGTGGTGGAGATGGACCCCAATTTTGACGGACCTTCATCCCGAGGCGGAGGCTTCTTAGTGGGCTTCATTCGGGGCCACTGTGTGGTCTTGTCTATTGATGCTTGGTTCCCTGTTGCTACCACCAGCAGGGTCATGATTATGATGAACGGGTGGAGAATATTGGGCATTGTACAAATACCCGCTGACAACAGAAGCGGACACCAAATTGATCAACTGAGGCGTTGACGTTTTTGAAAGAAGTTAAAAGGAAAACACTCACCAAGTCTCAGCTTGTGCCTCCTCTTCGTTCTCTTCACTAAGAGGAAAAGTGCACTACCTTTTAACAAGCTGAACCTCCCTGTCGCCCCTCCGTCTAGCCAATGAGAGGGCTTTTTTACTGCTTTAGCAGGTGACTTGGCACAGGCCAGAGGATTTGATACCCGAGGAGAATCTAATGTGATGGCTTTGAAAGGAGCCTATCAGTCCTCCTCCTTCTCATGCATCTGTATCCACTGTGTTATATCGGTTAAAGGGGCAATTCAAGTGCAGATGTTTACACACAAAGTGGATTTTATGAACTTTTCAAGTGATTTGTTTCTTCTTTTCTAAACGTTTACGCATGACTTCATATGTCTACGTAAACTCAGAGGTGTTCAGGTTACACCAGGCAGTTAACAGTCATTGACTTGGAACTAATCCAATGAAACCTATAGCTTATAGGTGTTACTTTTTTAGGTGATCTTTTTTTTTTTGGCCTCAGTTTTAGAGCATAATAGATCAATAATGGAAAGGAATGCATTTCTATTTTAATCTTTTATAAAATGTAATCATGAAAGCATTAGAAAATGGCTTTTTTTTTTTCATTTTTCTTTTTTTTTACATTTGCTGAAAAAACTTGGTTATGTCTCGATGGGATATGGCCGTGGATACTCGCATAAACATAGCATAATTTTTGTGACACAGTAAAACAATAATTAATATTTTTTACATAACCGGGAGGGGGTAGGTTTGCAGTAGATGCTAATAAAATGCAATTAATGGGTAATTTAATAAATAGTATCGATAATAATGTGTAAATTACTGTTTTTATATTACTGTGATTGTTGGGTTTAGAGTTGTGGTTGGGGTAGATGCTAATAAAATACAGTTTAATTGGTAATTTAATACAGCAGGGAAAATAAGTATTGAACACATCACCATTTTTCTCAGAAAACATTTCTAAAGGTGCTGTTGACTTGAAATTTTAACAATGGTAACAACCAAAGAAATCCATATACGCAAAGAAAACAAATGTAAATGGTTTACAAATTCAGTTATGCTCGATAAAATGAAATGACACAGGGGAAAAGAACGCATGAAGAAAGGGAGGTATATAAAGGGAGTGAAAGACCAGACAGCAGCTGAAATCTCTCAATAGTTCTTCAGCAACCCTCTGCACTTGGTCAGTGTAAATTAGTATCAGCTGCTATAGTCCAATATCTACATTAGGAGGATGAGGATGAAACCAGGGTGGACATTTCAGCAGGACAATGATCCAAAACACAGAGAAAGAAAATCAAGCTGTAGAATGGCCTAGCCAATCACCTGATCTGAACCCAATAGAAAATACAAAATAAAGAAAGTAACGCTCTGAACTGTATTTGTTTATGCAGATTGATTGATGTTTTAAATTCAATAATCATTCCATTATGCTGATTTAATGCTTAAAAAAATCGAATGGTTTTCTTCTTCGATAAACTTTAAGAAACACATCTGTTTAAAACAATGAAACAACAACAATACAATTAAACATTGAGTATTGAAGTAGAACAACAGAAAACACTTACTGTTTTAAAATATAATTTTTTACCATGTTTTTACTGTTAACTTTGATGAATTTGAATACATCCTAAATTAGTTACTGGTCCCAAACGTTTAAACAGTAGTGTGTGTTTTCATATACTGTGTATTATAAATATGTAAAAACAATGGCATCAATGTACAATATTGCTCTCATCCAAAATTTCACTAGCAAAATTGTGTTTCACAATGCACAACGAAGGTCGAGCAAGTCAGGTTACAAAATAAGTTATGCGTAATAAAATGAAATAAGGCAGAGAAAAAAGTATAAACACATGAAGAAAGGGAGGTGTAAAAAGGCAGTGAAAGACCAGACAGCAGCTGAAATCTCGCAGTAATTCCTCAGCAACCCTTCGTCAGTATAAATTAATATCATCCGCTTCAGTCCGATATCCTCATAAGAAGGATGATGAAGTTGAAACCAGAGTGGACATTTCAGCAAGAAAAAGTTCCAAAACACAGCCAAGAAAACTCTTAAATGATTTCAGAGAAAGACAATCAAGCTGTAGAATAGCCCAGAAAAATCACCTGACCTGAATCCAATTGAAAATAATTGAATGGTTTTCTACTTCGATAAACTTTAAGAAACACATCTGTTTAAAACACTGAAAACAACAACATTATTAAATAATAATCAAGTATTGAGTACTGAAGTAGAACGACAAAAATACACTTCACCATTTTAAAATATCACTTTTTACCGTGTCTTTACTGTTAACTTTGATCAATTTGATACATTCTAAATTAGTTACTGATCTCAAACGTTTAAACAGGAGTTTTTGTTTTCATATACTGTGAAATTTATCAGTCAGAGTACAATATTCCTCTCTTGCGAAGCTTCAATAGCAAAATTGTGCATATCGCAATGCACAACAAAGGTCGAGCAAGTCATGATTTTCCCAAGGATCAAAGAGAATCAGAGACTTTTGGGGGACTTTTGAACAGTCTCAGCGGAGAAAACACTAACACTTGAGGGGGTGAATGGTCGTGTATCCTAGACGCCTTCAAACCCTCGAATCAGACACACAGTCTACTTCCTAACAGTGTGAGTGTACTAAATCTGACCGGAAGAAACCCCGGCTGAAAATGGCCTTCTACAGAAATGTTGCCCCTGATTTCTGTGTAACTGCTCCGTTTGGCGAACGCTCAAAGAGAAGCAAAATAATCAAAGCGAATGAGATGTTGGCCCATGAAACAAAGTCATGGCAGCGTTTCTACCGTTCTCCTTCAGGAAATCCAGCACTGGTGACTTTTATATCTCGAGGGGTTACTGACCAGAGATGTTCATGGTTTGATATGATGCTCCCCAGCGGTGCAATTACATCATTCGTGAGAAGAAAAAAACGTTTAAATTACACCTCTAGTGTTTGTCAGATGAGTACTGTGTGACTAAAGCAAGGTTGTGTTCACGACCAGGGGTTGACTTCTTTATCTCTGGCCTGAATGAAACGCTGAACTTCAGAAACCTTCACTTAAAAAATTAAGTTTACCTTTTGTTCAAACTAAATAATTTACTTATTTCCTTAATATTGTCCCAACACAAATAGATTGTATGGAACCTAGGTTTTTTAGTGTACCATCTCAAAAAATGGTTGAAAGTAGGCCATTTGGATCCTTGTTTATGCCTCCGTAATGTCACCCGATTCTGATAAGAATGATGACATTAAATGGTACACAAGCAAATTAGTCACTCTGCCAGTTCATTTAAGCAGTTTCTTTCTTGATGGAACACTCCGCTTTTGTTAAAAATAAATCATTTATTTTTAAATAACAACTCTCCTAGAGATAAACAGTTGAGTTTTACCATTTTTTTAATCCATTTAGCCGATCTCTAGGTCTGGAGCAGTTTTAGCTTAGCTTAGCATAGATCATTGAATCAGATTAGACCATTAGCATCTTGCTCAAAAATATCCTAAGAGTTTTGATGATTTTCCTATTTAAAGTATCAAAGAAAGAACATGTGTATCATCAGCAGGAGCCAGAGAACACCTACTTCTACAAACATCCACGCCTGGGAAGAGATTACTTAATTTGACATTCGTTTGGTTGAATTCTATGAAGAACCTTAAATTGAATTGCCAGCCTGATCTCTCGAGAAAACGTAAGTGTTTTACGTTTTGCCAGTGTAGTGGCTAATTCGTACGAGTTCAGTCGTACGAAAATGTATGATTTTAAAAAGAAGGTGTGGCATCTAACCCCACCCCTAAACCCAACCGTCATTGTGGGATGATCAAATCATACTAAATTGTTTGAATTAGATCGCATGAATTCATACGAATTAGCCACTAAATCAAAAAGTTACAAATTGCTGTGAGATTGCGTTGGTCTGGCGCAGGAAGAAAAGGATTTAACCCTTTCAGCAGCCATTTCCCACCATTCCTGATCCAAACCAAGTCCAAGTTCTTTCTCCCATTGATGCTAAAACTGAGAAAGAGTGGGCAAAGTATAGGGAAGAGCCATATTGTATAAACTTGATAAAGACCCGTGATTTCTGAATTAAGCACCTCTCGTGTAAAGAAGGCTCTGACAGGTTAAGAAATGAAAGGGAATGGGAACGGACAAAATTACGCACTTGAAAAAAAAACGAAACTAATTAGACTGTAGAATAAAAATTACATTTTTATACAAGATCAGAAAAACTAGCAAAAACTCGAAACGAAACGAAACGAAAGAATCTAATGTTGAAGGTGGATTATAACCGCATTTATAATGTGTCCTTCATTACTAAATTAAGTATCGCATTATTTACAAACCAGTTATTTAAGCATAGTTGGTTGTTTTTAAAGATCATTCAGAATGAGTTAGTAAATGATTAATAAACTATCTAAATTAACATTTATAATTCTTATTATTCAGGCATATACTAATGGTAATTTGTATGTAATAAATGCTTTATTAACTCAACTTCATCCAGTTTTGCGACCTAATCTGAAGTGAGCACTATTCATGCTTTATAAATCCCTTATAAATGACAATTGAAGGCTCAGTTCTGTTCTAAACAGAAATAAAAAGAACATAAACCACATTATTCATTCCTATTTGTTTGAAGATACACAAACGAAACTGTGCTTCAAATGAAAAATAAATCTTTGCAACCTTTCTAAAATAAAATTACTCTACCGTTCAAACATTTTATATTATTATAGTGTTCAATTATTATATTGCTGTTGTATCAAATTGTATGTCGTATTTCGACACTCCTGTTATTCAGCAAAGTGTAAACTTTACAGTAATTTTACTTTTTAAGATTGCAAAGATTATTGTTCATTTGAAACTGAGCCTTTAATTGTCATTTATAAGGCATTTATAAAGCATGAATAGTTCTCACTGGTCACAAAACAGCATGAAGTTGAGTTGATAAAGCATTTATTAACATACATAGCAACCAATACTATACGCCTGAATAATAAGATATATATAAACGTTGATTAGCTCAATAGTTTAGTAATCATTTACTAACTCATTCTGAATGATCAT